CCTTCAGTGCAAACATTTGCTAAGAAGCGATATCGTGGATTCCTTAAAGAATGAGAACTTTGACCTGTTGGTGGTTGAAGGTTTTGATTTCTGTGGTTTCCTGGTTGCTGAGAAGCTTGGGAAGCCATTTGTGACCACTCTCCCTTGCACATTTGGCACTTTGGATTTTGGACTACCCAGCCCCATATCTTATGTGCCAGTATTCACCTCCTTCCTAACTGACCACATGGACTTCTGGGGCCGAGTAAAGAATTTTCTGATGTTCATTGATTTCTTCGTGAAGCAATGGCAGCTTCACTCTACATATGAAGATATCATCAAGGAGCATTTTCAAGAAGGCTCTAGGCCAGTTTTGTCTCATCTTCTAAGGAAAGCGGAGCTGTGGTTTGTTAACTCTGACTTTGCCTTTGAATTTGCTCGGCCTCTGTTGCCCAACACTGTGTATATTGGAGGTTTAATGGCCAAACCTACTAAACCAGTACCACAAGTAAGTAAACCTTAGCTCTCAGTATGGATTTCATGCAGAGGTCTTCAGTGCAGATTTGGTGGCTGTCCCTGCCAGTGGGATCCGGGGACCGATAGGGCAAAACGAGTGAGGTACCTAAGGCACACTAAGGAACCGCTCACTTTCAGGGTCATGTGGGTACAGTGTCGGGACTTGCACACCCCTGAGGTTCAGGAGACTGAGGGCCTCCTGAAATGATACACCCAGGCTCCTCTCTAGCCTCATCATAGCCCTGCCCTGTTGGGATAAACCTTTTAATAAGTTGACAATTTTATGTACATTTCGTGTGATCATATGTGTAGGAAGGATGTTATGAGCATCTGTCACGTGCAGGAATTGTTAAGGAGATTAGTTACTCACAATGAAACACACAACACTCTGAGTACAGAGTGTAACCGAGGTGGGACTGTGTGGGACTGATAATAAGAACTGCAGACTTTATCTCCAGCATCCCTTGCCTGTAGAGCCCTGGTTCCTAACTTCACCTAGACCTCCTTATCTGTTAGATCTGGGTGAGGCCTGGCTAAGTCAGTTTGAATGCATAGCCCAGACTCAGAAACCCTGCTATCGAAGTTTTCATGATGGAGAGAAGCTGGGATGAGTCGATGACCCTTTGCCTATCAGCACAGGGTTGCCATTTTATGGGCTTTTTCTTACATAATATCTTCCTTTCCCACGTGGATGGAAGTATGCTGATCTCTATTTTGCTAAGGAGATAGAGGCTCAGGTACTGTGACTTTCCCACTACCATTCACTTAAGAGCCAGGAAGAGCCCTGATTTGGCCCCGAGATCGAGGCACCGAGGTGCCCTACCCTTCCCCGCCTGACCTTGCGTTAAGTGATCAGGAAAAGTGGCAGAATGATCCATGGGCTAGATGAGCTCTGAGTTGGTGGCAGGATTTTTTTGAGGAATGGAGCTGGGAGGGACGGCATTCCAGTGGGGGAAAAGATGGGGCCCACAGTGTTGAGGTAGAAGGGAGATGCGCATAATTCTGGATTCCTCGGCTAGACTAAATCTTCCCATGTGGATATAATATGTAGACACATGGGCGAAGCACTGAGGTGGGAGATGAGCTACAAAGATCAGTGACTGAGGATGTCATGGACTATCAGAGGAAAGCCCGCCACGTGGCGTTTGGGGTGCGGACGCGTGGTTCGGAGCTTTCTCTATTCTGCCTTCACTGCTCTTATGCCAAAGGCATTCTCCCAGCTTCACTCTCGCCTCCCCATATCGCCACCCCCGGCCCCGCCCGCTGGACTCTGAATCCCCACTCGTTACCTTCCTAAGACTACCATCTCTCATCTGGCTTTGGAAATCTCTCAAGTGACCTACAATATTTAGAGGGTCTTGGGTGGCTCAGACACTAGCATCTGGGTTTCAAAGAAGAAAGATGTTCTCAGCAACAGAATGGAAATTAGTCCAATGCAGATGGGGCTGAGCTGTCCCAGGAGTTGTGATAAGAGTTTCAGAACTGTGAGCTCTGGGAATGACAGGAGGGTGTGTTAGTAAATAGCCTGACTTTCATTTCATGGCTGTGTAGGCTTTCATGGAAGACTTTGTTCACTTCCTTTCCTTTCTTACCTCTATCCAGGAATTTGAGACATTCATTGCCAAGTTTGGAGACTCCGGTTTTGTCCTTGTGGTCCTGGGCTCCATGGTGGACAGTTTTCAGTCCCAGAATGTTCTTAAGGAAATGAACAGTGCCTTTGCTCATCTCCCTCATGGAGTGATATGGAAGTATAAATCTTCTCATTGGCCCAAAGACATCAAATTGTCAGCAAATGTGAAAATGGTGGACTGGCTTCCTCAGAATGACCTCCTGGGTAAGGACTACCCTGGTGTGCTTCTCTCTTTTAATTTACGTGTCTCTCAGGCTCATCGGGGCTCTGACCTCTAGCTGGGCAATCCCATCAGCATAAGGAGCTATTATTAGCTAAAAGTAAGTCTCCAGAGGGGAGGAATGGATTAGCCATCTGTAGTCGTTGGGGAATCAGACTTTACTTGCAAAGAGATCAGATGGCAAAACAGCCATTTCTCCTTCATTCTTTTCTGTTCCGGGCCTGATGTCGGTAGCCATTAGAGTCACCCGTGACTTACTGCGTCTGGTCTAGAACAAGGTCACCAAAA